TGGGTGGGGTGGGGTTGGGTACTCTTGTGTTGGGTGGAGTTGGGTTGGGTGGGGTTTAGATTGGGTTAAGCTGGGTTGAGTGGGATTTTTACCTGATAGAACTGACACACAAATAGCATGGCGACCCACAGCATGTAGATGAAGACTTGGAGGCTCAACACAAAGGTCCATGGGGAACAAGACATGACCTCACCGATGTAAATCCAAACACCATTCTCTTCAAATGTAGTCTGACAAGAATCCACCCAGACTGAGACAACAATGTGAAAGGGAGAAAAAGTTCTTGAGCTAAGACCCAAACAGGATTTACATTTTAAAAAGGGAAACTCTAAGCTCTCAACAAATTTGGGCATTTCACAATAGTGTCCCACCAAGAGTTTGCAACGGGTTGGCCAATCACAACGCACGAAATGAGTCCTACTTTTCCAAATGCCCATTGGCGGTCGATACGTCCATTGCGTTGCAAACTCTTGGTGGCGCACTATCGGGAAATGCCCATACAATCCATTCACATAAACTCTGTATTGGCTGCAATGCCATTAATGCAGTAAAGAGTTTGAACTGGAAAATTATGCTTAAATGAGCAGTGGAAGATCAGATACATAGAAGAAATCAATATAACAATTCTCTACAACTGCTGTGAGTTTACTCAAAGATTACAAGTTGCGATGATGAACTTACACATTGCGTTTCCGATCAAATAGAAGAGGCTGGCCACAGGAAGAGATCCCAGGTAAATGATAAAGAAGCGATGATTCAAGGAACCTGAGTGACCAGACAAAAGAAATGATTCAAGTTGCATGCGCAGCCAAATAGATTCATCCCAGCTTCCTCACTGTCATGAAACATTGCAAAATCACACTTCTGACCGCCTTTACTTCAGGAAAACTGATTGACATAGTGGAGAGGCCCTTTTCAGTAGGTTATTGCGCGCAACAGATTCAAACACGGATTGTTTGTTGTGAAGATACAAGTCAGAAATAAAGTCAAAATTCAGCTGTGAAGCCTGCACAAACTCAATGATTTGTCCTGCCAAGTTTCAGAGCTTAGATTTGTGAGAAACCTGTGAAAGTGGGGAGTCAGTATGTCTAGATTTCAATTGATATGAACTTAGTGAGTTTAGACACGCATGGTGGTGGTGAAGTGGATTAGTTGAAAATGCTGCAGTCGTTGATGTGACGTTGAAGATTTACGCAAATGCGGTTGGCAATAGTGGTGTTACATCAACTCAGTCTCATCCTCAATGTTACATAATTGATTTGACTTCACTTATGGGGTGCTGTAAAAACATATTGACTAAGAGCAAATCTCACCAATGCAGTTGTCGACCCAGGGACAGTGATGGTCGAACCTTGAGATGCATTTATCACATGACGAGCAGTGCTTGGACCGGATTGGTCGCCTGATCAAGCAAGTCGTGCAGAATTTGCTCAGGTCGAGTCCTGTCGTCTCGGCCATCTCACAGATCGTCTGAGAGGGAAACGGGCAAAGAAATGAGGAACGGAAAGTCACGGCTTCAACTTCAACGACAAGTGGAAAGACAAAGGCTGCTGGCTAGCAAGTCACAGCCAATGACAAAAAATAAAGCTGAGATTTTACAAACTGTTTTGTCTAAGGCTGTTCGGGTGTAACTGTAATACATGTGCACATTATATAATAGCAATTGGCAAGCGGACAAGCCAGGGTTCGGCTCCAACTTGCCCCTTTTTTCTTTCTGTCAAGAATACAATTCACCCTCATCACCAAAGTGGTGAAGGAAACTCACCCTTTTCTGGTCTTCCTGCGAGTGCCTGATGATTCCCGCATTGAACCTCCAGCATTTCCAGAAGCTGTACAACATGGTCACCATAGCTAGAATGTACCCTGCTCTCATCCACCAATCGCTAACATGTGTTCACAGTCAAGGGACCAGACTTGCTAATTGTCACCTGTGGCTGAGACTAAAACGAGTTACTTCCACCCTGTTTTGGGAGATTCATCTGCCGGCTCGCTCCTAGCTAAAGTGTTTAAACTGACATTGCTTACTGGAATTGGAGCACTGGGTTTGATTAGAAACAATGTTGTGGACACACTATGGATCCATACAAAATGGGGTGTACCCTTTAGCCGCTCTGAGCGGAACAAATGAAGGCCTTTTTTTTGGTACTCTCCACATAGGCGCGCGTTTGTAATGGAGATTAATAGCGCGTTTGACGCGGAGCACGCTGAGTACGCGTAACAAATTTATTCCTTAAAATGGATGGTCTTTGCGTACACACAGAACGCGAGCAAGAACCCGCTTGGAAAACTTTATTACCATCTGTCTTTCTTTTGTCGCTTGGGGGTGCACTTCATGCTCGGGGCCGACACAAGCAAATTTGCCGACCCAAAACTGCTTTTACCCATCCGCTAGAAACCTATCTATGAGAGATTGTGCTCTCCTGCATTCAGTGTGGAGGGCATTGACACATAGTTAATGGGTGCAAAATTACGACATTGGCAAAGGATATAAGGCCAGAAGTAGACAAAGTAGGTGAAGTTGACCAGAACCTTGGTGGCTACAGCCAGAGCAATGGGAAAAAGCTGAGATGCCCGACTATCAACGAAAAATCTACAGTTGAGGAATACAGCGAGAGAAAAGTATGGAATTAGTAAACAGAAGCTCTTAAGAGGTATAAACTGTCCAACTGAAGTTGAAACATTAGACCTTCAAAAGTAACGAGGCTGTATCCATGTACTGGGAGGAAGCCCTGTGGGTCCTAGGTTTTTTGGCTTTTGTGGGGTTTCCATAACCAGTCTTAATTTGCAAATGATTAACAACGACTGTCACGGCCTTAGTGATAACTTGGGATCAAGGAAGAAAGAAAGTATGGAAGAGTCGATTTATGTTTTTGTCACAGCTTTGTATGTTGTCTCTAATGAGTTGATTTTTATTTATTCAGTTCAAACAGTAAAAGAGCTGGAGTATTCTTGCAACTCTCAATCCTCTGAAGGATTGAGAAACAAGACTTCTTCAATTTCTACTTTAATGATTGCTTTGACAGGAACATTATATTAAGACCTCTCCCTCCCTAACAAATCATTGCATGCTTTGTGCCAAACAAATGGCATTTGGGGTTGCCATGAGCCTGCCGTGTGTCCTGAAGGACAGGCTGCCAGTCTAACCTTACCGTAGCAACAAGTAGATGAAGGCAATGCTTAGCACCAGCAGAATAATCTTGGTGATGTAGGAAGCGCTAAAGTCGGGGATGAGCCCCAACATGACCAGGATCATGGCTGGCATGGCCCACATGATGTACTTTCGCAAGTCCTGGGAGAAAGCATGCAACACTGGGATTAATTACTGCTTACTGAATACAGGAATTTCACTTAGCACAATCTCCTTTGAAGCAGCTTTTACGGAATTGAGGTCCGGGGTGATTTCAACAACACAGCTTAACACAGAAATCTGCTTAGCATAGGCAATAGCTGCTAAGCACAAGTTATTAAAGAATAAACAGTTTCTGATAACAAGAACTCTGGCATAATAATAAACAGAACAGACCTTGCTTCCTTTCTTTGTGCCATAGGGTGTTTCCCCACGATGCTCTCTGATGCGCATGGCGATGTAGCCATTACGACGTGACATTGCAACGTCTAATGGCGTCTCGTGCTGAGGGACAATTGGACAAAACACACTATCCGAGTTCAATCCTGAAGAAATTTGGGAGGTTTAATTTCAGACAAATATCTGGATCTTGTGTCTGCAGCTAACATAATAATAATAATCAAAACGCATCCATGCTCTCAGGAAAATAACCGCTGAATGGAACAACGGCATGTTTTCAAAACATTCAATATTGGCCAAGCATGCTCTATACGACTGTGACTTTAAACAGTGTCAACAAAACAACAAGGGATGAATCCTTCACTGTATTGTTCAAAAGGACACACCACAATCACTGTATGAAGAGAGTCTTGGGACCCCATGTTTGGTACACATTCAGATGAAAGTTGGTGTGAAGCCAGTGAGTCCTTCAAGGCACAGGTACAGTGCACAGCCTCCGGAAGTCCCCGCCCTCAAACGAGTACGTCTGCCCTACAAGACTATCGGTTGATCCTGCAAGTAAGCAACCAGTTCTTTCGCTCACCCGGCTGTTCTCAACGAAGCTGTCAGCGCCATGCTGCAGTAGTGTTTGGACCGCTGCTGTGTTACCCACTGCCGTTGCCCAGTGCAGTGCCGAGTTGAGATAATGCTTGTCCTGGAGATTGGGGCTTGCTCCTAGCGTCAAGAGGAGACGGGTGGGATCAACTCTGTGTGGGGAAAGGGAAGAAAACAAACTTGAGAGGGGACAGTGAAGGAAGAATGAATCATTTACATATATTCAACTCAATAGCAATTGCCGTCACCAAGGAAATTTGTAATATACACTGATTTGCTGACACCATTACTGCGGAGTCCCCGTCACTCAGGCGCACATTCCTGAACTTGACACATGCCTGATTATGGTTAGCAGTGCACTCCCATTGGCTGAGGGAGCATTTAATGCGTGCACCTGGTCTGCTCAGGGGCATAGGGACACTGCAGTAATGGCTCCTGATTCTTGTCACTGGATGTCTATCCCCTCCGGGTGGAACAAAAGAGGGCATGTTTTTTTGGTACTCACTGTACAGGCGCGCAATCAGGAGCGCAAGTATATGCGCGTTTGATGCGGAGCACGCTGAGTATGCGTAACTAATTTATTCTGGCTTGTATGGTCTTTGCCTACACGCAGAACGCATGCAAGAACCCGCTTGTAACCACCTATCTTTCTTTTCACCGACTGGGAGTGCACTTCAGCTCAGGGCAGATACGTGATGCATCCTCTAAAACAAATCAGGCTGTAGAGCTGACTTCTTTTAACCCTAACCCACCTCAATCCTCTGGGTGGTTTTGGAGGATTTTGGAGGATCCAGGATGAATGATGATTTGAACATTTGAGGATTTTTGAGATTGAGGATGAATGGTGATTGAAGCATGCAAGATTTGGAGGATTGAGGATGAATGGTGATTGAAGCATGCAAGATTTTGGAGGATTGAGGATGAATGGTGATTTAAAGTAAACATTTCATAATTTATGTCTTGGACCTGTCTAACTATTGAATGTAATCAAAAGGAAGACTGAAAAACTGAGTATGCATGGTGAAATGGTGTGGATTCAAACCACTGTTGCCACGGATACAATGTCCTTTGAACAACAAACATCAAAAACTACACTCATTCAATGGAATAAAATACAGGAAATTTCAGGACTTTTCTTTTTACCAGCAAAGCAGACAATCCATACAATGGTAATGTCCTCTCCAATTTTCCAGAGGGAATACTTACGAGAACGTCCTGTAACACGCCCACATGAGCGGGGACATCCCGTTACCATCGAGCAAGTTCGGGTCCTCTCCCTTGGCTACCAGGTAGGCCACGATGGCCGTGTGGCCGTACTGACAGGCCAGGTGGATCCCGCTCACTCCCTCGCCATCTCGCAAGGAAGGGTCGGCTCCGTACTGGATCAGCAGCACCACCATGGGGAGGTGCCCCTGCCTGGCCGCCCAGTGGAGGGGCGTGGAGTTGAGCTCCCCGCCAAGCTGGTCAATCACAGCTCCGCGGTTGATAAGGTATCTGCAAAAATCACACATATTTTGAAAATAGCACAAAAGGGCGATGCTTTGACTTTTTTTTCTTTAAATATTGTAACTTCAAAAATGACGGAAGGCCAAGGGGTGAAATTATGATCAGGCATTAGACATTTTCTGGCCCTATTTGTGCGTGTTTCTACACAAAAATGGATGAAACTTTTCATCTGGCAGCTCATCTAACCTTGATACATGGCACACTAATCAAAAGTGTGAGTATCCACTTCAAATTCAAGCTGAAAACAGCTACCAAAAAGCAGAAATATAAAAAGTTCCCATATTTTTGTACAGACCAAGCATACAAAATGCTGAAATTCAGAGTCAACATCTCAACAAAACAAAGCTGAAATAAGCCGAAAAACTGAATTCTCAAAGCCCTGGACTAAATGCTAATGACAGCTACTCACTTTTTTGTTTCCTCCTTGGGGGGAGGCAGGGGAAAGATTAACCCTAACTCTTTATATGTGCCTTTTCAGAATTACCCGGTATTCTCCACTGAAGACCAATGACATATTCTCTCTAACTATAAACGAAGCCATCACTCCGTTTCAGACAGCGGTGCGTACAACAAAACTCCATAGTTCTAGAGATACCTTTTTCCAACCTGCCGAATCCTCATAAATTAAATTCCTGTTGTATTTTTACGGGCTCTCAGAGTTTGAGTCTAAGGAGATTTCTTTGGGAGAGCTTTTTGATCACTTTGAGGTTAAGATTATATGTCTGATTCAGTTTGAACATCTTGGATATCTGTGCTTCCATCTTGCTCTCATAATTATGGAATGATTTATGTACCTAGCAATCTCCAGCCTATTGTTGATTGCAGCCCAGTGAAGTAATGTTACGTTCTCCCTGTCTGGTTCCCGTACATCCAGGCCATTCTCAACAAGTTCTTTCACCCGGTCAAAGGCACCGTACTGGACCGCTTTGACTGAGTCAAACGTGGAGAAGTCAGGCTTGTTTCGGACCTGCTGCTGTAGCGGTGTCCGGCGGTCAGCAGGGAGGTGTGCTTCATTGCTGCTGACCATCAGCTGAGCCGGGGACATGTCAGCTTGGCTGGCCATGGCTTGGGTAGGGTATGGTTTAAATTCTTCCATTCTGTCTGGAATGCAATATACATGTCCGTGTATAAATGACAGACACATTCACTGAAAACACACGTGGATCATACTTATAACAGAAAGACTTTCTGGTTTGATTCTTTTAAATTGGATAATTAAAATATGACCATCATTGATGTTACCCCTTGAGAACTATTGGGCTTGCTTGTCATCAGACTAGTTCTAGGGCCTAATGTTTTGGACACGAGAATGAAAATTCTAGATCTGCATCCAGAACATATTGGAAAGCATGAGGCATTTTTCATTATTTGTTATTTTTAGTAAGATGGTACACATGTACATGTACCTGCCGTGTGCGGTACATACCCAGTGCAATATGTACGCATGTATTGGAGAATTTAATCATTTGTGTAGTAGGTAGGCCTAGGCATGCATAGGTACCTAGTTATGTGCATTTCACACCCTTTTTACTGCTGCTTTTTGATTTGGGATTTGAATTTTTTTTTTGGATAGCCCAAGTTTTAGTTTTAGTGAAAATAATGATTTTTTTGTAAATAATGAATTTTTTTTCAGTGGGGTGTTTTGGGGCATGCAGGCAGCAGATGCAAATCTAAAACTTTCATTCTCTGACGTTCTGACATGGCCTTAGGCCTAAGTACATGTAGTAACAACACTACAGTACTCACGACAGGCCTATCACAAAACTTAAAAAAAGAAGCAAATTGCAACATAGGCCTAGGGCCGAGCCTAGGTAAAATAAAAAATCCATTTTTGAAAATTAGGGTGGCAGCAGGGCATGTTTTTTCATTTTCAAGATTAGCATGGTTTCATTTAGGCCTATCCTAGTACTGTGGGTTCGTCGCGCCGGTCGCCTCGTGGAAGCGCGACAGTTACCCCAGAACCCCACAGTTCTCATGGTTCTGGGGGTAGGCCCTAGACTATAGCATGGGGGTAGAATCTACCTCCATGGTTATAGTATAGCCTACTATAGGCTAGCCCCACTAGTGTGGCACGGACTCTCACTCCCGATCCACGAGAGTCCGTGCCACACTAGTGGGGCTAACTATAGGCCTACGTGACGGGTCCGATTTGTAAGATTTACCACAATTTTTCACTGACACAAGCTGCATAGTTTCATGCTGAATCTTACCTTCGTCTTAAAAAAGTTGTGATGAATTTCAGTAATAGCTGAATGGAGTAACAATAAGTCTGCAGTAAAAACTTAAAAACATCAGTCATCAGTCAGCCAGTTCTCTCATTGAGTCTCAGCGATTCATGTGCGGTCGATCGTTCGTTTCGGGATCGGCTGGTAGCGGCCATATTTGTTTTAGACTAACGCGTTGATTGACGAGATTACGTCATGGCAAATGTGCGCCCTCTTGGTGTTGTCCCGGGGAGTGGTTTACAGTACATTTGAAAATGTTCAAATGGCCTGGGAGGGGGACCCGAGGGCCCTGACCTCGGTTGGGGGCTGCCCTTTATCATACGCCACTGCATTTGGGGATCTTTATCAGCTTATGAGGGGCGAGGCAAAATTTTAAAGCTGTTAAGCGTAAACACTGATTTTCTTCAGGTGAAGAGTGAGTCTTAATAGTCAACTTCTCCCTCAATTGTAAGAACGGTAATATCAGCCAACCAGCCCCAGATACGTTGTAGATTGGATTGGATAATCGAGGAGGCAGTGTAAGACAATGAAAGGTACATTTTAAATTCCATGCAAGAATAAAATTCAATGTTAAAATTATGCAGATGCAAGCACGTACATGTATGCTTAGTTGTGTTTAAAAGAGCGATGGGTGACTATGGTGAAAACTGCATTTTTGCTGAGAGCGCTAATCACAATTGAGTTTTGGTAAAGATTGATCAGAGTCTCCAACAAGTGAACAACGGAGGGAATTATCCTTTGTTGTTAACAATCATCTCTGAGTAGCCTCCACTGCTCGTTTCTTTATTATTATTATTTTTTTCATAAAACGGCTGAGACCCTGACGTTTCGTATCCTAGCCGTATCTTTCTCATGTCCCGCTGCGTCTGAATCTCTTGGCTGCGGCTTTAATTACAACTTTATGGGAACTGGCTGCGGGCACTACCATAGACTCGCAGGTAATTTCCAGCCGCAGCCACGTAATGATTCAGAAACGGTCAATGCTCTACCACTGGCACACAACGGATGGACGCACTATCCAGTTAGTGTGACGTTACTTCAGTTTAAACCACGCCCACTGCACACGCGCACTGCACATAGGATTACGTGCATTGATCACCGTTTACATGGAACCATGGAACCGGAAGTTAACGCGCAACTTCAGCGATCGTCCAATGAGAGCCTGCAAATCGTGGCGCGTCCGCCTCTGTGACTAGACTAAGGCTGCATCCGGATCTCTTGTCTAGAGCTAGCTCGGTCTTCCCTCCATTGGAAATGCGTGGAGACGCGTAGACAATAGACCTAGCCGTAGCTATGGAAGCCCATTTCGGACAAGGCCGAAGTCACTTACGAACCGGACAGGCACAAAGTGGGCGTGTCACCGATGTTTTGTTTTTAGATGTTTTCTCCACAACATACAAACTAATACAAGCCAAAAATGATGTACTTCTCCAACTTCACTTTACTGTTTTATTTCTAAACTAACACAATGTATTCAACTCATAGGCAATCTTGTTACTATAAATACAGATGTTTAGCATAATATCTTGCACTATCAATACAGAAATAATTAATAAGCTAATGTTATTGCCAATAAAGTCATTTTAATTAGTAGAACATTGCCTTTTTACAATAGCAGGCTAAATTCAATGTTATTAAACTTCTACAAAAATAAATCTGCTCTGAAATACTATGCTGGGAACAAATTTGGTAATTACATGAGATTAATTTTGGTGCATAAAATGGAAACAAAACTTAGTTGTACAAGCTAAGGAGGCTTGAAGAACATTGCTGGCAAAGGCAAAAAGCTCAAGTAACAGTTGCGTAGACGATTTAATCCACTCAAATTGAAAGCACATACTTCGTTATTCTGACTTGTTGGTTCTGTAAGCGATCTAGTTCTATGCTTGGGCTTTGTTAAGAAGCAAAACAGAAGAGATAACAGGGAACTGAATCTTTCATAAGAATGAATTATCTTAATATGAAGTGCATTACAAGAGCACCATATTGTATTTTTAGGATATGGCCACGACACCGCAAATGTGCAAATGAAGGAACTATATCTGGCATGCAAAGCAACAAAATAAATCTTGAAATATCACCTCAACATTAGACTACTTCTTTATATTGCAAGGTATCGAGCATCACTCACTGGCCATCTTTAGCTTCGCGTTACGAGGTAGTCAAGCTGACCTACACCTCGGAACCAGTAACTCCCACTACTACTCACTGGCCATTTCTAGCCTTAAAAACATGAACTGAACCTTTAGTTATCTGCTGTTAAACACACTGATGCTATCGTTCATGTGTTCAATGTCACTAAACCACACATTCTCACAAAGGCAGTCTCAACATTATCAAACTTTTTATCAAATGTCTCCGAAACTAAGCAGTCATCAATTGCCATTTTTACGAGTATAATCCAATGAACTCTTTCAGTGACCCCTCTAAAAGTGAACGGAAGAAAATCCTGATCGATCATCATTCTTAATCAATCAAAATGATAAGTAAACACAGTCTGAAACCTTCACTTTCCAGGCGCCTGTTCTGTATCCTCAAGAAAAAGATGCTCCCTAAAGCATTTCAGACACTTCTGGTTCTGGCTGAGTAACTTGACTTACAGTTGATGAGAGACTAACATTTCAGTCAATAAGTAATTTTATTACAGGTGCTGTGCAAATCTACTACATGTACTAATAATTTTTATTACACGTACTTTGAAAAAAATAGAGCAAACTCTGTTATTTTAAAGACTTTGCCAAATGTTCTTGTTCTACAATTAATATCAAATTACAAGATACAAACCTGTGTTAAATTTATATAAGCTTAACTGCCCAATAAATTTACTGTTCAAAGGCTAACTAAGCTACACTCTTACTATTGTACACATGACTTATCAAAAGTTCTAGAAAACAGTATGATTTGGAAAATAGAAACATTGTCTTTCTTTGATCTTGTGCAAAAATGTAGTAGCCATTATTGATTCTGATTGTAGAAAATTCTCCAAGGCTTATTGAAGAGCATTAGTGAGAATAGATCAAAGGATTCTTTCAATGTTTTCACCAAACATCAGTCTTTTGGTTAAATCCTCATTGATGTCTGAACAAACTATAATTTTTGTTTGATGGAAGACCAGTTTGTTTGCATAATAAAGGCACAGATTTTTATCAATCAAGGCAATGGAATATACATGGAAATTAGTTGATCAAAAGCCACAAGTAACTTGGAAATTGGAAAGTCCTCAGTGTATGCATGATATTAAAAAATATGATATTCATACCAAAATTTGGCAAAAAGTCAGGAGCATCCTACAAAGGGAATGGATGTTTTTTTACTTGAAAGACTGAAGATAGATGAGGTTAATAAAATTACCCAGACAAAAAAAAAAATCAATTTTGAATTTCTCACTGATAAGGGTTCCCTGTCGACAAGATGGTGAGCTCTAAAAGCAAGCCTTGAAGAAGGAAATCATCATGCAACTACTTACATGTCCTGTTCCTTGACTTCATTTTAAGGAAACTGTGGTAAAGTTGGGTAAACTAGGTGTATTTGTGGCCATTTTGTGAGCTGCTTTGCGGTCGTGAGATTGTCTATTTTGTTTGCTTTATCTTAAACAAAATTGCAACTGTAACTGACGAAATGAATAATTTCAGCAATTTGAAGGTTATTTGCATAGGAAATACAAATCTGTTAATCAGCATTTAGAGTAAAGCAAAACACCTCTATTAAACATCTTTTAATGTGAAATCATGAAAAAACCAAAGCCCTAAATTCCCTTCCTCATATGAACTAAAATACGTAGGCACCATTGGAATCTTTTGTAAAAGCAATTCAATTGACTTGACTTTTATCCTTTCTTATACTACCTGGTGTTTAGTCAAATTTGTCAGCAGTTCATTACTTTCTACAATGATATCCCTGGCAAAAACAGTTAGCCCCGCCAGAATGTCTGTCCTGTGTCCCATATGCTGCTTGGGATACATACCAATCCAAGTGGTTTTCTAAAGCAGCGGCTACGGATTCTGTGATCACCGGCGACCAGATGCGGTGTGTTGTTTACTTGGTGTTAACAAGGGTACCGGCACCAGCCCCAAAGCCGTAGCCCTTGGGACCGAAATCCTTACCGTAGCAGGCTGTGCATAAAAGGACAAAGAGCATGACGTGAAAAATGTGTACAGAGACAGTACTTTTGCTTGGGGCTGGGGTGTCACATTTGCTGTTAGGTTTCTGCAAACTGTGTGAACAATTCAGATACATTAGAACATGTACTGGCCAAAGTGCCAGAACACTACCTCAACAGATAAACTGAGTGTCACTATTCGCTACGAACGGAACAAACGAAGGGGTATTTTCTTTAGTACTCACCGCACAGACGCGCATTTTTAATGGCATCAATGGCGCGTTTGACGCGGAGCACACCGAGTACGCATAATAAATTTATTCCTTAATGTGTGGTCTTTGTGCACATGCAGAATGCGTGCAAGAACCTGCTTGGAAAACTTACAACCATCTGTCTTTCTTTTACTGCTTGGGGGCGCACTTCAACTCAGGGTGGATACAGTCTCGCATATTATTTCAATCTTTTTTTTCGGCATTACATCAGGCTTTGATGTATCAAAGCACAATCAAAGAGGCACAAGGCATAAGGAGACAGTTCCGTAGTTCCTAAAGACAAGGTGTTTGGGGAAGAAAGCACGCGCGCCAGTCGGCATATGACTGGGTTGATAGGACGAGTGCTGCTGTACCTGAATGACCTCTGATATGCTTTAGCTTGCACGAGCAATGCGTCGTTGGAATACCAAACTAATTGGTTATATCGTGCAGGGTATCGCTACTACCCTCATTTAAACTTTCCACCTCCCTGACCTGGGTTCAAAATGACTTAAGATGGTAGTACACAGAAGGGAAAGTGTTCCTTTATGAAAATTATCTTAAAGAAAGAAGCACTTTGAAAAACTACTCCAGGGCCTCATCCAATACCGAAATCTTTCACAAACATGAATAACATCAAGTTGCCGTGCGTCGTGTTACCATATTTCAACAAGAAACCTTTGAGTGTGAACCCCACCTAGCTGTCCAGAGAGGATTTTAATCTCCCTCTTTTCGTTGAATATAAAGCACTGATTTCCTTTCTTCAGACTTACATTTGCAGAAGATCTCTCCGTCTTTGTCGCTTAAAGTTGTGGAGTCAAGTTTTTTCTTGCAAGTCTTACAATTGAAGCAGCTCTTATGCCAGGACTGCCATTAACAAACGGCGACATGAGCAATAAAAAAAGCAAACAAGTTAGAAAGACACCATGCCGATGGGAAACTCTTTGGAGTTTGACAAAGGAGAGGCCAACATTCTCTTATTTTTGTACAGCGTCCCAAAACCTTGGCAGCAATTAAGGGAAATTGGAGGGAGAGGGGCATGAGCTGTCCCCAAAGAAGGGGCCATGTTGGATACGATATAACGAGAAAGGGGCACATTCTGCAACTACTTTGTTTGCCCACTGATCATTTCAAATTGTGAAAAATATCCTTAATTTAGCCTCGTATCTCAAGAAAGACTATTAAAATTACTACAAAGGTCTCCCCAATTCCCAAATTGGTTCTGGATTCAGCTTTGTCAGAAATAAGTGTGATCAATTTTCATCATGAACACAAGAATCAATCAATACACACCTGACCAGCACCAATCACCTTCTCAGCAGCGTACACTGATTTAGAGCAACGTGGGCACCTGTCAGCGCTGCCATATTTGTTGCCACCTCCTGCCCCTGTGCCAGCCGGACGATAAGCTGTCTCACTAGATGGCTTACTCCTACAAGAGACAGGACATCAAACACTAGTACTTTTACACTTTTACCCCTTGAGGGGAAAATCTGAACTTATTTTAGTACTTGTACTGAACTAGTACTTGTAAATCCCCTTGGGGAAAAACCTGACAGAACCTGTACTTCAAGTAATACTTGCACTAATACTTGCGCTGACACTTGAACTGGTGCTTGAGCCTGCTTGAGGGGAAAAACCCCAAAGAAATAGTACTTGTACTCTACTTTGCCCTAACACAAGTACTTGTATGCCCTTGCAGAAAAAATTTGAAAGTTTGTGATTGGTATTCCTAAAGTTTAATGTAGAACTTAAATTATTTTGCTGGGTTTGGGCATTTTGATATCAGCTTCCTTTGTTGCCAAACTCAAACCAACAACCAATCAAATGAGCAGTGCTCCAGAAGAGATGTTTGCGCAGTGTTTAAAGTACTTCACGCCGATGCAGAGTCCTCGCTTAGACAAGGAAAACAAACATCAAAGTGATAGCCTCCCTGCAACTGTTTCAGCCCTTAATGGCTTAAAGAAAGCAAGACATTGCTACTTTTTTAAACTGAAACTAACATAGCATCAAAGCTTAAAAAAAGACAAGGCATGATGCAATATATTTTGAAAATAAGATCACTTCCTTGAGTCAACCGTCCGCTTCCCAGTTGGTTTCCATATATAGCCACTTCCTGCTTTTCTTCTGGTAAACTGTGGCTTTTTGTTTTCGTTTGATATCCGACTAAGACAACGCCTGCCTACATTACCGCTGCCTTCAAGGCCAAAGAATCGAAACAGACCGCAATCTACAGACACTGTTGGCTCGTGTTACATCAAGAGACACATATGTGACTAGAGAAAAGAAAGTAACTAATTCACTAACTGAAAATGTGCTTCATGATGGGGTAGCATTTCCCTGATGCATAGATAATTACCAGATATGTTTACTAAATGTATTCATACTAGCCGGTTTCACTGAGGTACTCTAGCCAGCCATTATTTGTACTTATTTTAGTGACTTAATTAAGATTAGAATCTCAGCAGGACTCTGATTGAAATCAGTTTTTAAACCATTGGGGCATGTCCTTGGTCAAGATATTTACAAATTGCAATGCTGAAAAGTTATTGGCATCGCAATTCAAAAATATGTGTATTGGTATCCTAATCTATAGATGGTTAGGCTTACTAGCTGTGAAAGTCACCTTAAGTGTACGGAAAATGAACGGTGAAGACAAACTTTCTGACTTTTATCCCTTCGTCCAACTGCCTTTATCTTTCATTCTGGTGATACGTACCCAAGAGCGCCCCCAGTACTCAGTGTACCGGCTCCAACTCCGTAGCCATAGCCTTTGGGCCCAAAATTCTTGCCATGGCAACCACCGCAGTAGAGCTTTCCTTCATGGTCCTTCACAGTGAACGAATCCAACATCTTGTTGCAGAGATCTTCAGGGGTGGAGCCAAGTGGGAGGAGGGGCGGATAAATCAAGCAAAATAGTCATCATCAACAGAAGTTGATGTATAGGCCAATTGCATGGGTGCCATCACTGAGGGTAATATTGTTACAATGTATTTAAATTCAGGTCACATCATTCAGTGTCATGCGCATCTCACAGGAACAAAGAATCGTCCGCTGTGAGGCCCCAGCGGACAAATCCTCTCTAGCTATGAGTCACAGATTAATTTCTACGATATATTTTCTTGGCATTTGATAATCCTTGTTCTACTGAGACTGCAGAGCAGACAGAGTAGGGGTCAAAGTAAAGTAGGCCCCACATATCCCCAGAACTGTGGGGTCTGACGTCTGCCCCACCCCCATGAGTCAGACCCCACAGCGCTGGGGGTAAAATAAGCCCCACTTCCTTACCGCATTTGAAACACATTTTGTGCCATTTGCTGCCAGCAGAGACCACTTCCTCGTTGAAGTACACCGTCTTTCCACATTTCGGACACTTAGCCCCTCCGCCTAACCGGGACATTATGACGATGAGTTCAAGTTTCTGGGGAAACAAATTATGGAGTACCAAACAAACAAAGAAGTTAGGGCTAAACAAATTTCATTTAGGCCTACGCTTGGGAATAAATACACATGATAGGCCTAGCTAGTACTAGACCTTTAACATTATTCAAATTCTCATGATTACATTCATATTTACATTGATATTCAAATGGGGCGGGGGAATTAATTTTGGTGCAATCGGCGAATCTGCACGATCACTCGAACACTCCGACTCCGAAGTAGTTTGCCCGGGAACTGCTCAGCAAGATTGTCATAATTGTGGGACTTATTATGTGCCATGCGTACGGTCGACCACCACCTGTTAATGTTAATTTAGACCGCACCCAACTGCTTTTTGATGATCAAAATCTACATACTATTACCAACAAAAAATGTTTGAATGGAAACACAAAGTGTGAAGGGTAACTCAAATTATTAATTAAATGTCATTACTGTCATGACTGTTTCCTAAAAAGGAATTGAATTGCATACTTACATGCGAAACTTTGGTTGTAGGCCTACGTTACTTGTTGAAGTGACAAAACAGCTCAGTTTTGGTTTTATGGTGTACTATTTACAACACACATTTCTGCATCTCTAGCGTCTTCCATGGCGACGTGCCACACGACACAACGTCGCCGCCTTCTTGCCAGTGCCATTTTTAGTGCACCATAGTTTGGGAACACACCCGAAATTTTGTGTGGGCGCGTGGCTAGGTTTTTACGATCGAGGGCGCTGTACACACGGAACGGAACTTAAAGTTGAAAGTGCCGAAACGCATCCATAAAGGGCTGTCTTTAAAGTCCCGGAAATGGGGGTCTTTTGGGGCAATTGGGGGGTTGTCTCAATTGTAGTACTAGTCGCCAACACTGATGCGGCAGAAGGAAGCATAAATTCTCCTCAAGACAATCTCAACCTTGCTGGCGATGGGCAGTTTTGTGATGCTGCCGCACAACCTTGTCCCGGACAACGTCTACACCGATCCAAAGGTGCGGGGGTCCGGGGAGCCGGAGAAGGAGAGTTCGACTGGGCGGGGCAGGATGAGGAGCTTGCCCATGACCACGTGACCAAAGATGGATGGGATGGAAATGGTTACATAACATTTTGTCCTTGTATGGGTAAGGTTCATTTAACCTTCCTCCATGGTTGAAAAAATGAAAAATTTAACTGTTAGAGATTAGAAAACTTTGTTAAAATTGATAACACTGTTTATTGCCTTTGCTGTAGGGCCTACTGCTATTAGGTAACATACTGGCTAGTTTACCTTTATGGTTTGACTTTAATTTAAGTCTGTACTGCTGACTGTTTGCTAGTTTACTTTCGTTTTATTGGCCATGATGTAACAATAGTAGGGTCCTACATATTCACGAGAAGAAGGATTGCTTGTACCTTGGTGAAAGGCCAAAATACAGAAAAATAGTTGTGTTGGAATTTTGTTGCATTGCTTCATTACCAGGAAACTTTGGAAACCAGATAGAGCAATATCTTGGTGCTATCGCTCTCGCCAAAGTCGTGAACAGAACGCTGATACTGCCCCCCTTTTATCACGTGTATCACCGGGCAAGACAGTTGCAGGTGAGTATGGTCGGCACAAAAGTGGTCCTTGCACAGATTGTTTTTATTTCTTCATATCTCTTCGTCCAAGAGCACACTTAGTGCCAATTACAGGATGAAGTGACAACTAAGAAGACAACAAGGAAATGTTCCGTTTTAGAGGCGGGAGGAAAACCCTGGATGAATATTCTAGGGAAAACCCACAGAGTCAGGCAGGGACTGAAAACCCAATCCCCATGCTGACCTTGGTGGGATTCGAACCCACGCTGCAGAGGTGGAAGGCGAGGGAAAGAGCCACTACACCAACCAGACTCCCCAATCTATTGTCCCATCTTCCAGAATTGACTGTCAGGTGCAGCTCATTTTAGCTTGGCTCGCTCTGTAGATTACGACAAACGTTTTTTGTGGTTGTCCAAATTTGCACTGAAGCGTGGATTGCCACTGACGCAGAGGATGGCAGCCATGACAACATGGATAAAAAGAAAACAGACAACTTTTCGCTGTAGTATAGGTTAAAAAAAAACTTATTTCTCTCCTTGGTGAAATTTAAATCTGTCACTTTTTCTATTCCAACTTTGGGACTCTTTTCATTTCTCCTTTCCTGACAGAATGTACCATTCACAGACCTTTTTCAACTGGGTGCCCTACGACAGTTCCATCGTGTCATTCCTGTGCATGATTTTCTGACCATACTAGCTCCGGAGCACTGGCCAGCAGGCCAGCGTAGGGGCTATGCCTACCCCTTCGGTGGAGAATGCAGTCTAACCCAAAGTAAAGCTACTATGTGAATTATTCTCTTAGTTTAACAGAGCTACTTATTGGCAGGTGGGGGTAGCCCCTTCCAAGGAGTGCCACCTTTTTAAAATGTTGTGAGAGAAAAGGCACTTTTGTTAGAAATCCTAAGGGTTCATTTCATTTCCTTCCCAGAGTGTGCAAAAAGCCCAGAAATGTAGCATTACACCTGAAATTGGTCATAAAAGGTTACATTAAACCGTAACCCACCTCAATCCTCCAAAATCCTCCGGGTGGTTTTGGAGGATTTTGGAGAATTCAGGATGTGCCCCGGTAAAAAGGCCCTAGTGGCTTAGGGTTAAGCTGAAAAGTTTTGCTCCCCGCAAAAAAAACCCTGGTCCTTGTTCCATCCTTGGAGGTGCTAAAAATTATAAAAATCTATTGCCTAGTGAATTCATCCACTTGTTATGGAGAATGATCAACTGTCATTATGGCCATCAGACCAGTTACCTGTTTTTACCCATGTAGCAAATCTTTCATTCCAGTCAATGTTCATAATTTCTGCAAAGATTAGAGATTGACTCATTTCTAGTAATTTTGATAAAATGTCCGTACCATGTAGCATTCTCCTTTTTTGTCTCCCAATGTCATCAAAGTAATTCATTTCCAAACTGGACAGTGTAACTTCAGTTTCGTTTAATTAAAAGCCCTCCTTTTAAATTTCCTCAATTTCTACTTTCCTGCTGCCCATATGCATACCAGGTAAATATTTCTACAAGGATCTAAATCCACCTGTTGTATTTGATGACTGCGTACCATGCAAGTTGCGATTTGATGTCAATTTCAGTGCTGATGAGAGGGCAAAGGGAGCCATCAAAAACTTGTGGTCAAACAGGTATGCAAAATGTAAGACAGAGGATATGGTCTTCAGTTTTTATCTTTGAATTAACAGGCTACAAACTACTGAACTTAGGACTAATAGAGTGTGATTTCATGAACCTTATTTTACCTTCCATCATTCTAGAGCTTTAAATCATTTGGGGTCCAATTTCTCCAGTTTTTCTCCACAGAGTCATCCTGTCCTGGCCTTCAATGGTCCCATTGGCATCTTTCCCATGATTGCTGGGAACCGGTATCTTCAGAAATACCTCCGTTGGGCAGATACTGCCTATTTCGCTGTGGCCCAGGTCTACATTTCTGAGACCTTTGGCAAAGACATCTGGGTGGCTATTCACTTGAGAAATGGAGAGGATTGGGTGAGAAACTGGCTCAGTATATTTGCAGATGTCAATTGAGGCCTGACCTTTGACCAGCCGACCTTATTTACAAGGTCACTTTCAGTCTTGTTTCTGAATCTGTTTCTAGAATTCTAATTTGTTGAATGAGATGACACCAGACTTTAATTAAAGCAAAATTCCGAGCCTCTCTTTCAAGTTATGTCAAAATGTGGTTTAATAAAAAAACTATCAGGCATGTGTGCAAATTAGTACATGTAGCTTCAAGAATTTGTCCCGAGACGTCACTATTGTGGTTCAGACTGATGACTAGAGCATAAAACAAGTCACAAGTAGCAGGGTGAACAATGACAAAGGAATACGTTTGTTGCAGTCATTTGAATAGCTTGTGGCTTGAATTCAGATTGGTCTTGTGATGGTCTTGAAGTGATCTTGTGATGGTCCAGTGGGGTTTTGTGACAGTCTTCAGGTCTTTTGAGGTCTTCTGATGGTCTTGTGGGGTCTTGTGATGGTAAGCTTGTGAGGTCTTGTGGGATCTTGAGATGGTCTTGTGGGGTCTTGTGATGGTCTTGTGAGGTCTTGTGGGATCTTGAGATGGTCTTGTGGGGTCTTGTGATGATCTTGTGAGGCCTTGTGATGATCTTGTGAGGTCATGTGATGGTCTCGTGATGGTCTTGTGGGGTCTTGTGAGGCTTGTGATAGTCTTTTGTGTTCTTGTAATGGTCTTGTGAGGTCTTGTGATAGTCTTGTGATGGTCTAGCTTGTGGGATCTTGTGTCTGACGGTCTTGTGAGGTCTTGCTAATTGGGTCTTGTGATGGTCTTGTGGGGTCCTGTCATGGTCTTGTGGGGTCTTGTGACAGTCCTGTGGGTTCATGTGACAGTGTTGTGGGGTTTTAGCGATGGTCATTAGCTTGTGGGGTCTTGTGATCTTCTTGAGAGGTCTCAACTACCACACGCTGTGAGACTTGTGTACAAGCTGTTTGCCTTTATTACACCTGCACCCCACTAATTGAAGTGTGTTCTTCTAGTGAATATCACATGCAGCACAGTGTGCAAAACTGGGTCCTCATATTATGGGAATGGTAGGAAATAACATGTACCACTTTTTATCTTGGCCGTTTTTACTTTATTGATTGGTCATGACTTACACAGGTCAAGGCATGTAAAACAGACCTTAGCACTTTAGCGTATATGATGGCATCGCCGCAGTGTCATGAGAAAAAAATTGGAGCTGTCACCAAGGTAACGAACTAGTTGAAGCATCGACCAGTGGAACAATTTGGTAGGCTAACAGTGAGATTTTGACACTGGTTCACACCCCTAAGCCCTGCTGTTTTCTTGACCATAATCTGTGAATTATGTTATTTCAACCTTAACATTTCTGCATATAGAAGTCGAAAGTGACTCCCTGTGATTTTGAGTTCCCATGCAGGGCTTGCCCTTTATTTGGCTAGCGGGCGACCGCTAAGGGGAAACCCTGCCATGCTATGCAAAACGTTACCACTGAATGAGAGAATTGGGAATTCTCTACAGAGTAAGCTATCAAAGAGCGACATCTTTCTAAGATGGGATAATTGGAAAGATACCTTATGGAGGTACAGCATCATGTAAAACATATCTTTCTGAGGTTGAAAAAGTTATCCCATGTTGTCAGCATTCCACTTTTTTTGGGTGAAAATTTGTCATAGAAATGCAAGTAGTTATTTTTTAGCTTGCCAACTGGCTACAATCTGCTTTACTCTCAGGATCTGTGCCTCCCTAGTATACCTCATATGTTAGAGCTGACACTGCAAGTCTTTCAGGACGTCAAAGCCAAGCATCTCTTCATCGCAACTGACAAGCATCCTCATCTCCAGGAATTCAGGATGCTGCTTCACCCTCTGGGAGTAAGATGTTTAGTGCCATGGCATATCCAAACATCCATTCGAAATCCATTTTGCCCCCGGTCCCCCTCCTTCCCAGGACCTATAAGCATTGGTAGGCCTCCGGTGTGATGCTGCAGTAGCTCATCTGTTCCATTTGGCCCCACTCAACGACTCTCTCCCCAAACCAACCCTGCCTTGCCCAGACACTAAACTTTGGAACAAGGCCTTGATACATTCCTGAACAAATTGCAGTTGTAAGTAGCCCCAGGTTTTGTAACTATGATGTCCTTAAAGAGGATATGCCAGTCATTACTCAAATAAATTTTGATAGAGCCCTGCCTGGAACTAACATCCAGTGGTCCCTGGTTCGAGTCCTAGTTGTATGATCACATTAGGTATTGATCCACCCGAAAGTTCGGAAGCCATAAACTTCCATTGGTTGACCAGGGCAATTGTAGTTCAGTGGTCTCTGTTCTAGTCCGAGTCCTTTAGCATGTTTTTGCGCAGTCTCTCAGGTTTATTTATTTCTCTTATTTATTCCGTTTCTTTACCCAGGGTATGCCCAAACAGTTAAAAACTGGCTTCCATTGGGGCTCTACGTATTACGAGCAATTAAGTAATGGTAAACTCACATCACAAGATTATTACTTTGTTGGAACATACAATGAACACCTTTAGGATTTGGTCCACCATTTACAAAGCTAGCAGCTGGATAAATTTTGATGGTATACCACTTGAATGGTAGGTCCGAATTCTCTGGTTTGAGTCCGAGTAGTCTTATGCCTGATTTCCTTTGTCTCTCATGTTGAAGGTGTCGGTTCACCATTTGAATCCAGACATTCCTCAAGTTGACCTGATGATCCTTGGCCAAGCCGATTTCTTCATTGGCACCTGTACCTCGTCATTTACCTCATTTGTGAAGCGGGAACGAGATGCCAACGGCAAACCTTCCATTTTCTGGGGACAGGAGTATAAAGGCTTTCAATAGACGATCTGTCACCGTGTAACCGTGACAACTACCCTGATTTGTCCATAACTTTAAACAAATCAGAGAGCACAAATCGATCGGCACATTTGTAAAACCATATTAGGGCTACTTCCATTGTGTTTGTTACTATCACAGTTTGTTTCAAACTGAACGTTTGTTTGAGATGTTTTACACCATTCATATGAGGGAGTATTTGCTTGTATCATTTACTCTAAATTACTCACTGCCATTGCTGTATTCAGAAAAATCTTTAGGATGATAGTTTTATGCGTCCGTCAATGAAATTTTTTTGTCTATAAATGAATGCATATTTACCTTTATTTAACCAGGATATATCTGAGGTTGAAAACCATAGTTCAGTTTTCAATTTCATATACTTGCTAACCTTGTGCAGTACTTAACGTTTTTATAAATTCAACATAAAATGTATTTTTGGAGATATATATTTTTATACAGAAATTGTAATGTTTCTTACTGTGATACATTTTGGATGTAATGCATTTACAGGGGTGTGAAAATTCAGCTTTTTAGCTGATTTCAGCTTTTTTGTTTAGATGTTGACCCTGAGTTTCAGCTTTTTTTACAGCTGGTCTGTACAAAAGTATGGGAACCTTTTCCAATTCAACTTTTTGCTAGCTGTTTCCAGCTCTAATTTTAAGCGGGTGCTCACACCCTGGAATTTGAAACAAAGTGAAACCATTTTAAATGACTGTACATTGTACTTTTTAAACATTTTTAAGGTTAGGATTCCATGAATAAACATGATTGGCGGGGCCCATTGTCACTTTTTTTCACAAGCTGAATGCCAGAATTGTTATATGCACCGGAATATTCAAAAGAAATGTTTTCTACGAGTTTTATCTAGATGTGAAAGCTTTTTATGCCCAAAGTCTTGAATACACTCTGTAATATTGTACTTTAAGTTGTATTCAGGGGAGTTTAACAGTTTTATGCAGGGTGAGTCATTTTTAGTGATAGTTACAGTCTCATTTGTCTAGCTAGGAAATATCCAGGTAATTAGTTGTTTTGAGTTGGGTGTTGATCTGTCTCCTGTCTATTTGTGTAAAACACTGATAGTATCTGGTACATAGCCAAGTTATTGATTTTCCTTTGTTGATTTGTGCAATGTAGGTAAAGCCAACATTTCCTGCTTATTTATTCACTTTGACACCATTCCTTTTTATTTTGTCTTGAAATATTTCGACTCGCTTTTAACTAAACACCCTCATTCCTTGTTTTGAATCAATAATTTAGGTGCTAATAATTGTAAAAATGATGGTGCATTGGTTTCAAAGTTGGATTCGGAATTCGTCGGAATACTTTCGTGCTGAGGATGACAGAAATAAACTGATTTTTGATTGACGGTGGTATCTTTCTCTGTTTGTGTTTGGTTTGCTTGTCTGGTACCCCTGACCGATTTGCATCTAGCCTGTCTGAGTGAAACGGGCTTCCAGAGCTATGGCTAGGTCTATTGTCTGCGCGTAAATTGGAGGGAAGACCTAGATCTAAGCTCTTGGCAACAGATTGGGATGCGGCCTCAATGAGTTCTGTAACTTTTTAAAATTAAGGCATATTCATGATGCATGGTAGTTCAGTTTTACTTTTTTCCCCTGCGGATCAGAAAGTATGCCGTCAGAATGTAAAATTCTTCAAAACGCTGAACGAGGTTTATTATTTGGTAGTCTTGTACCTCGTTTCCTTTAATAATGCCTCGTGTGTCAGAGAGAAAATGGGACCAGGTGAATGGAACACGGAGGAATAAAACACATCCTCCATGAATGGAGCAGGTCCGAGTCGACCGGTCATGCGAAGGTGGAACACCGCGCCCATATCAGGCCTGCCAACGTGCAGGTAGGTGTGAGGCCACATTACATTATACATGTGCCGTGGCTCAAGCTAGTACCGTGACACCTGTGTTACATGTTATGGTCACACTCGACGTGTGACCCCTGGTGACTTTGTGGTGTGTGTTCGGTCATGTCAGTGGATCTGGACGAAATATTGGACATCATCAGTTTGTCTAATCAAATGGCTGGTCGGATTACACTGGCAACCATTCTCATGATTCTCGTGGGTGTGGGCCCCTTAGTTTTATTTACATGCACGACTGTTGGAGTCGATGCGGAAACCAAGCACGCCTATCGTGCCGATGCTAACATTGACAATTTTGAAACTGAAAATCCCCCAAACACCTGTTCAGGTGGGGAAACACCTTGTGATGAAGGCGACAACTTGGAGTCGGACATGTTGGAGAACAGTGGAGATTCCATTCCTGCCATAGACGATGGTGAATTTAAGTGGGATCCCAAAGGATATGTTTTATTTTGTCCCTGTATGGGTAAGACATCACTTGCATGATTTGTTTTGGTTGTCAAACATGCCTTACTGAACCTCGTTAATAAGAGGTCTTTCGGACTCGGTAAATTATATATACCAGTAACCTAGTCATTAGCAGGAACCTTGTCATGCTTGTATTATCATAATATCAGGAATGAAAACAAAGGATTGGGACCTGAGATTTTCTTGTTATAACTTTGTATTAAAACAGTGCTCTTGTTAACGAGGTTCGACTGTATTTGCCTACATCACTCGGATTGTGTTCTCATTGACCCTGCACCGTGTACAACCGTGACATCATTTTGCAGGGGACACTTCGGGTACCTTATTTCCTGAAGGGGAGCATGTTAGGAATCGGAACTACCTTGTTGTGAAGAGTAAAACAGTGGATTGAAACCAGAAACCATGGGGGACCCGGACTATCACCAGATTTGTTTTCCATTTCCTTCTCTAATTTCTGGGGGGGAGGGGGCAGGGTGCACAGGGGATGTAGGCCTTGAGTGGGGGGCATGCCCCATGTCCTATCCTTCCACCCAGGTATGCCACTGACCATCAGAGTAGATATAGTTTGTGTTTAGTTGCTGTTAAAGTGGTGGTGTATTATTTTTTGCCCAGGTGTCATCCTTGTACAACAATTTCATTCTTTTTCTTGCAGGCCGTTTTGGTAACCAAGGGGAACATTACCTTGGCGCCATGGCCTTTGCTAAGGCCCTCGACAGAACTTTGGTTCTACCACCATTCCGCACATTTGTAAGTTCAATCAAATAGAGGCTGTGTGGAATATCCAAATAACCGAATATTTGATCGATTGTCGAATATTTGACAATCGATTTTGACTAAATCGAATCAAATCAAATCGAATTTGAATTTTCAAATGCAAAATGCATGAAAAGGAAGGAAGTAAATTATTCATTAAACAATTTTAAAGGAATAGAAATTTTCAACAGTGCAAGAAGTCTTGTTCATCTCTTAAATCTTACTAAATCGTGGCTGGAGATACTCCTAGATTTGAGAAGCTATTATATTGATCATAATGTACAATTGTGTGTAACTGTAAGTGATTTTGTATATGATTAATTTTGTTCATCAACAATCTGCCGGTTGGTGCAACCGAATATTCGGATATGTGATCAAATTGAAGGTCGAATATTCGAATAGTAAATTATTCGAATTGACTCTACAATCAAATAGATGCCCCAATTGTGTGTTTCAAGTCATGCATGTGTTTGATCTTTTCATTGCTGGAGGACTGTAAGTTTTTTCTGTAGTTTTTTAGCCAAGAAGGTTTTTCAGAAAAGGCAGTAAAGGCAGAATTTACCTAAGGTGTCAGAGGAGAAACGAAACAAGGTTCTTATGGATACCTGCAAATTTGTATTATTTTGTATCATTAGAAACACGCATCCTTCGGACAGCTGTTTGAAACAGAACCGATTAAGGAGTTCCAGCGTACGATTCTCATGGAAGATTTCATGGAGCACTTGGCCCCCAAATACTGGCCCCCTGGCAAGCGCATAGGCTACGCTCATCTCCCATTGAAGAGTGAAACTCCTTGTGAAATGAAAATCGGTGAGATTTCTTAACAGTTTTTTCAGATTTTGTTGACTGTGTTGCTTTAGTTGTGAAAACATCACATTGTTGTTGTTAATTTGGCATTACCAATTTCATTGTTATTGTTAGTGACTTGCCTTGTCCGTGATTTGTGGTGCATGCCAAGGCCGTTAAGCTGCATTATGTGTAGCTTTTCCATTGTTTCTTTGAAATGTTTTTTAGGCCCGATGAAAAGAACTAAAAAGATTACTTAATTTGTTTTCAATTTTACTTAATTGCATGTAGTCCATGTTGTAGCTACGATCCCCTCTGTAACACCAGCAGAAGACCTCCAGTCAGAATTCGAGATGCAACTGGTCTTGAGTCTTGTCTTGAGTCTGGTCTTTTGTCTGGTCTTGTGACTGGTCTTGTGACTGGTCTTGTGACTGGTCTTGAGTCTGGTCTTGAGTCTGATCTGGTGTCTGGTCTTGTGACTGGTCTTGTGACTGGTCTTGAGTCTGGTCTTTTGACTGATTATGGTATTATTCATCATTCCTTCATTCAGGAAATCCGTTTGATTCATTCTGGAATTATTTCAAAGTTGACTTTGATGACTGTATCAAGTATGAGATTTACAACTTTGCTGACGCATCCGATGAGCGCAGCTTGCAAAAGATGAAAGAGAAGTGGCATGCCAGGTAAACGTAACAGGTTCGACTTATTCATGTCGGGTTTTTTGTTTCTTTTTTTAAAAACTTTCTCTGGAACTCTTGTCACAAAATTATACCTTAAGTTTGTCCCTCATAGAATGAATAAAGGAATTTTAAAAAAGTTAAAGCCAAACAAGTGCCATTCGTGAGCACTGTCATTCACATCTGTTCTAATGAAGGTGACATCAGAAGCGAAGATTTCTTAATAACCCTAGAGGGCGTTGTGCCATCATGTGTTTTGCTTGCACGTTTTGCATTTCACTAAAGTTCCTCGAAGAATTCCACTGACTTTGGTTGGAATTTTGATATGCCTAATGATGTGAGTGTACATTATGTCTTGGGTTACAGCTCATATGTTACAGAGTAAGCTGTATCAGAAGGGAGATAGAAATATTCATTTTGGGCACGATTAACTGCAAGTTATGAGTATGAAATTTGGCCTGTCGGACCACGTGGCCGGTTCCACACGTGTGCACGTGAAGCGTATTATGAATTTGAGGATTCTGCCTGGAGTTTGGGTATCTAATGTTGAAGTAGGTACTGCACCTGAAGAGTTGGGCGACAGAGTAATTCAGGAAATGCTTTAGACACCTGTTTTGACTTTTGATAGAGTGCTCATTTTGACTCAAGGCTTAGTTTTGGATTACAAACCGTCCAGTATATTTGCTTCACTTCACTTTTTAATGAGGATTTTTTAAGTCAGTTCATAGGCAGATAGTTATTGTATTGATGTATCGTATTGTTGATTACAGATTGAACCATATACATACACGCACACACTCCTGTGCAGGCATGGCATACATAGTGAGGACCTCTGCACAAAAGAAGTCCACATAATGTAGGGTGCCATGGCGTTGTGTGGACTCGTACACGTCCACACAATGTTTCCCCCTCTGAAAAACAGTTTCAGAGGCATTTTGGGGTCAAGGTTATCCGTGGAAAAATGAAGAAGAACAGTCCAGGAAATCATCATCAATAATCCAGCTCGAGGGAGCTATCCTCGTTGAAGAAAGAGGAGCATTTTCTCAAGTTTCCATAAGCACAGGAGAACAAAGGAATGTCCACACTTTGAAGTAGGGTATTAGTGTACCAGCACTGTTAGACTTGCTGTCAGTCACAAGTCGTAATACGAGTGGTGTGATACAAGGGCAAAGTGCGTCACCGTCCTTGAAACTTCTTCTGAGAATTGACAGTCACAAGTACTGCACTATTAAGTTGGCAAACAGACAACTTTCATTCCTAGCATCCCATACTACCAGAAGTCATCTTTTAGCAGTCCTTTACTTTTCCCATGACATCCAGGAGAAAGTTGTTCCTTTTTTCTCTCATAGATTTCCTCCTGAGAAGCACCCCGTCCTGGCATTGCGCGGTTCACCCGGCAGCTATCCCATGCTTGCCGGCAACCGATACCTGCAGAAATACCTCAAGTGGTCACCAGCTTTTTTCGCCGATGCAGGGAAGTACATCCGAAAGACATTCAAAGATGAAGGGTTTGTTGGAATCCATCTCAGGAACGGCATTGATTGGGTAGGTGACAGTAGCTGACGGTAACATGTCTGTCTCAGGAAGCCATTACCCAGCGGCTGCAGCCACTGCTCATAGATTGGTGTATTACTCTTAGCCACAGCTGGTTAATGTTGACACAATCTTGGCTTCATCTCTTCCGTTGTAAGTTTTTCCACAAACTGAATTTCTGATTTTGGTCTGTTCTTCAAGGAGAGAGCTTGTGAACACGCTGATGGCATTGGGAGATTCATGGCATCCCCGCAGTGCTTGGAAAAGACACCAGGGGCCATTGTTACAAAGGTACAACTATGATAGCCTTCATTAGTTTTAAAATGCACAAATCAGATTTTATGCTTACCTAAAGTTCAGCTTTGACAATCTGCTATCAATTTGTATATTTTTCTGTTTGACTTTCTGGTGAATTGATTGAGTATGTGGGAAATTTTTTTGTGTGTGGGTTGCCCAGGTTTTTCTCTAATTTTCTCAGGACAAAATAAACAAGACTTGTTTACTGTATTGGTTGATTAACCTTTGTTCCTGTCACAAGCTTTGTGTTATTTCCCGATTAAACTTTTTCACATATTTATTGATAGGACCTCTGTCTACCGAGCCTGGAGCAGATTTTAAATTTAACATCACAGTTATTTAACAAAGTCCAGGCTAAACATCTGTACATTGCAACGGACAGGAAACCCCACACTGATTCCTTCAAGAAGCTTTTGAATCCTCAAGGGGTAAGTATACATCATTAATTGGCTAGCACCTTGCTAAGCACTTGCTATAAGGCACCTGCTAGAGTGTCAGTGATGGATTGGTAAGACATCAGCACTTGTAAGCAGGGAGTCATGGGTTCCTTTTTTTTCAGTCTTTTTGTGTTAACCTGTGCAAAGAGCTGAACTCTGTATCAAATATTTGATATCATTAAGAGTGGATTACTGTAAAAGGGATGGAGGTAAAAGCTTTATGAGCCTCGAGCTGGACCAAGAGAGGGCGCAATTTTCTTAGCAACAAAGGCTCATTTGGTAAGAACTGAACTTCGCTGGTTCATAAACGACTGTGAAGTGCACGCGCTGCGGTCGCATTGTTACCAACAAAATGAACTCTCACAACCAAGATAGCTTTTTTAACCGATGAGGGGGTGCTTCTGCTCGAGGTGGACAGACCTGTATGCTAAAAATAGGCTTGCATCATAAAACTTCTTGGTGCATCAAGTAGCATTCGAAGAGTAGACAATTTCTGGAAGTGTTTCCCAACATTGATCCTACTTTATATGGGAAGAGTTTTCACTCCATATTGATTTTGGGATCAAACATTGAGTGTTAGTACGTGTATACGTTTTTTACTCTACCATGCATCTAAATGCCACTCAAGAGTCAAAGGTCTGGATCCTGTCCTTTGTTTCTCGCCAGGTATCTGTCCATCACTTGAATCCCAGTCAGGCTGAGACTGATCTGATGATTCTGGGCCAAGCTGACTTCTTTATTGGTAACTGTATCTCGTCCTTCACCTCCTTTGTCAAACGGGAACGAGACGTGAACGGCAGGCCCTCTGCATTTTGGAGCCGAGATTTAGAATTGTAAACTTAGAATATTTGAAAGTTTCAATAACGTATCTCATCAGCACCTTGTTAGTCTTATCTACCGAGTTTTGATATCGTTTTTAGTTATTTTTTTATTTTCTTACATCGTGCTACATTTCATTATACTTGGTTGCAAATGTGCACCTATTACGGTGCACCACGTTTAATTTTTGATTGTTTTGATTTTGATGTTTGATATTTTGTTGGTTTTTGTTAGATATTATTGTTGTTGAGTGCAGAATTGGACTACCTTTGACTTCTTAGTACTCCCTGCTCCTTAAAAAGACGAACGAACAATTATCCTTTCCGAGCAGGAACAAAAGAGGGCGTGTTTTTAAATGAAATTGACCGTCCTTTGGTATGCATTCACCCCATAGCTTCGCACGTTTTTGTGGGTTTGACGCGGGGCACGTTGAGTGCGTGCACCAAATTTATTGTGGAATGTCTGGTGTTCGCTTGCACACTGAACTCCTGCAAGAACCCAGTTTGAAAACTTCATACCAGTCTCTCTTTCTGTCACCAATGGGGGCACGGAGGGTGTACTTCAACTTAAGGTGAATAAAGTGTGTCTAATGAAAGCGATGTTACTACTTCAGTTTTCTCCAGTGCTGTCTTCAGTGTAATTTTACTAATTGAATAATGTTTTATACAGGATGATGCATTTTCATTTAATGGCAAGAGGCAATGTAAACCTGTCCATCCAGCGGGGAGAATTAACGTGTGTCCTTTCAAGGCACTTTTTTCAATTCAATTTTGTTACACATCTGCAACCATGCAATTTTTAACTATGCAATTCCAGTTAAGTCTTTTTGCACCAATTATAGACACCTGCATTTGCAACTTCTTGATGCAACCCTGTCCGTGCCAGGTTTCCACCAATTTTAAATACCTGTGGTTTCATGTTATTGAAACCTACGGAAGGACCCTTCACTGGACCACACACCCCACCTTTATCATGAATATCATTTTTCTTTCAGTAACACAGTTCATTACTTTGATGGGTGTTTGCCAAATGTCAGGTGCTGGTGAAGAACTGGAAGAACAGCATGACAAAAGTACTTCTGTTATTCATGTGCATGTTCACTGTTTGAGAAAAACATCTTATTTTCCTGTTATTCAGTTCGGTACTCAGTTTTCTGCAGACGTTGATCGTCAGTGCTGGGAATAATTCTTGCCATTTGATATCTGTGGCGTGCGAAATTCACACTTCTCCCGAAACGGAGATATTTCTATAATTAAAAGAGATTAGGCCTACGGATCAGGATTAAATGTTAACTTTGCTCGCCATAGATATGCATTGTGTATACGGCATGCCATTAGTTAATGTTTGGTTTTATTGTCTCCTCTGTTGATAACATTGTTGTTTACTATATTCCTGTCAACATAATTCCAAACGATTGGAACTTATATTATTTATTCTTTGGTTTTTCATCATTCCACATTTTAAATATTTTTTTCTGTGTAGATCAAGACTTTTTCATGTAAAATTCTTGGGCAGTTAAAGACGAATCACGCTTACTTTGGAATTATGAACTTTTATGCAAATGTTAGTTGCCATCACTGATTGGCCGTAAGAGATACTTACACATTTCTGATTGGCGTGTGCAATTTCTTTTTAATTGGGCTTGCTAAGCCGAATTTAAAGTGGAAGCTTTGTTTCTTGTGGAAAAAGTTTATTCGTGACGGCACGCCTGTTGGATGAAGTAGTTCATTATTTGCCGTGTTTTACCAATTTTAGTGACTAGAAAAGGATAGGTGGATTGTATATTTTCTAACAAATTATATTTTGAATAATAAATACTCAGTTGTACTGCCTTAAATCTTAACGTACCAGTGAGTTGGGCCTGGTTTAGGGATTCACACGAACTGTTCTGACATTTTCACTTCGTTCGGATTGGGTTTATGATAATGTTTAACTGCGTAGATATTCCCAAATCAGGGGGATGTTTCCAAATCAGAGGGTAACTCCTTACGAAACGTATTCCTTGTTCCAGAACCTAACGCATCTGCCTAACATATCCCAGCTCCTTTAAAAAAAATCTTTGCCCTTTCAAACTGCCATTTGTTTGTCACGGTCAATGTTACCGACACCTCGCCGCGGTGCGTGCTCATGATGATGTTCTTCGCCCAACCTGGAGGGGAACCGGCGCAGACCAATTTCATTCTAGAACCGTCTGTGCCTCCAGCGTGCATGGTCTTCGCCGAGCGCACAGTTCGCGGACGTCCCCAAACCGTTTCCAAAAATGGCATCCACTCGACAGCCGGCACGCGACGCCGACCTCCCATCTACCCTCTGCACCCTGCGGCCGCGTGAGTAGCGGAGGAGTGCCGTGTGCAAAGCCTTCGAGATGCGCCAAGAATTCTTGAGAGCTAAAGCTTTGATCTTGCTCCTTATCTTTCCCGTCCCGTGCGCACGCCACCTCCGCGGGATCACGTTCACCTACTTCGGCAAGGACGCATCTCTCACGGGAAGAGATTTATTCTCAAGGCGGACTCTGTTTAGGGCGTTGATCATCAATAACAAAGGTAAGTTTTGCGCATAAATTCACCTGTTTAATTCCAGGCGTTTTTAGTCCAAAATTTGATTGCAAAATGATAGGCCTACTTCAGCCTGGCGTGTATTATTAATGTGCGTGCATTCGTGTGTTGGGCGTCAACGTTATCGATCCGGAACTCGACGCGTTGTGACGGAAGATGAAGTCTCATATTCCACCCAGTTATATGCGTTTGCCTGAGCAATTGAAATTTCTTTCGTTTCATAAGCGAGACAAGTATACCGACGAACTATGCCGATTTCCAGAACCATCCACTGTAACTTACAAGGGGGTTACATGACCGTGAGGGAAGAGTACGTGTTAGTTTATGGTGTGAAACACAATTTCATCTTTGAGTACTTTCTGTAGTGGGTTTTGGTGAGTCTGAGACTTAACATTTTCAGACTGAGGAGAAAACTGTACATAAAGTACTTTGAGACTATTGTATGAAAAGAAGATTGTACATAAAGTACTTTCTATGTAGGTGGTTAAACCTCCGAGCCGAGTTCACGGTGGCTACACAGAGGACGGCGGCATGTGCAATATTGCGTCGGAAATAGAAAGAGTTAACTTCCATATATTACTACATAATTCTATAATAATTATATAGGATTATTTTATGTCATGTCGATCGTCTACTCGTAACTGATTTGCTTTCTTCAGAAAAGTGTGTCTATGTGCAATTAGACTCTGTATATATACATGTATTTACCAATGAGCAATGTTCATAACACGTAACATTGATCCTGAGTAGTGCTTCCACATATACCATATTTGGATATTAGGGGTCGTCTTGTCAGTGACCTCAGATCACATGCTATACAAGTACTATGGTCTAGTTCCTATTTCGTCATCGATGAAATGTGTACACAAGGAAAAGGGTGCCCGCTCCCTGAGGAGCAAGTTGCCTTGACACATTCACCGGACAAGAATGCCCGGTATGCACAACGGCTACAAGAAGATGTAGACATCATCATTGAAGGCTTCTGTTGTCAGATCATTTCGCTCTCATCGTTAGCTAAGACAGAATTAGGTTCATTTTTTTAAACAATTCAGTTCTGTTTGTCACCACGGCTGTTTTATGACGTCTTTGTGTGATGTTGAATTTCGTCACAGTGGTGGAAGTCTTACAACGGCTTTTTTTCATGGTTGAAGTAGCTCAGTGTATGTATTCGGGGTGTACACAACGCCAGCATAATAAAAAAGTTTAATTTTATGTATGGTTGATGTATGAGTGGTCTATTATCTCTTGAACATTTAAAGTCATGTAATCATTGATTGGCAGTTTGACTTTACTTGTTTGTTTAATGAACACCATAAAATAATTGTTGTTCGGACAGTTGAGATGCAATTGTTATGTGTTCATGACCTTTTAAAAGGTCAGTCGCAAACGACGCAGTCATTTAGTCAGATTTAGGAATCTAATGTTGTTGAACAACTTGCCAGCTAAATTGAAAGGCAAAGTGTCCTTTTTAAAGCTAGGACCATACATCCAGCGTCGGCTTACACCACTCACCACACTCAGGAGAAACAGTGATAATGATAACAGATTTTGAGACCGAAAGATCCCGGATGTTGAGACAAAATCTTAGGAGGTAGTCGGAACCTCACATCACCATTTCTGCCCTTATCCTAACTTCCTTGCGAAATTTACCGAGCCATTGGTTTCAGATTTCGTTAATGTTCGCCAAGATGCAGCTAGTGTAAATCGCTGTTCAATTCCAAATTCTCGCGTTCCGTGACAACCCACGAATAGTGCTCGTGGCTCACTCATCCCATTGATGAATACATTGTTCTCTTCCAGATTTGATCCAGAATGCCACAATACGGAGGAGGACCAAAATGCCCCAAGTGTCTGGAGAGTGTGTTCAAGGCCGAAGAAGCGCCAACCCCCGTACAAGGCCACACCTGGCACAAGCTATGCTTCAAGTGTGGTAATACAAGCCGTGTCCGAAATGGGCTTTCCAGAGCTAGTTACTGCGGTCTGTCCTGCTCACAGACATGTAAACGTTTATGTGTCTGTGGTCCGGCTTGAGCAGAAGCACCCCCTCATCGGTTCAAAATGAGCCATGTTGGTCAGGAGTGTTTACTTTGTTGGTAGCTACGCGACTGCAACGCCCGCATTTCATAGTCGTTTGTGAACCAGCGAAGCGCATTTCCTACCAAAGGAGCCTCCGTTGACAGGAAATTTGTGCCCCTCTTGGTCGCGCTTGGGGCTCATTGTCAATGTGTCGGTTTGTATTTCCAATGGAGCAAAGACCTAGCCCTAGCTCTGGACAACATCAACAGATTTGGATGCAGCCATAGACTAATCCAAGGAAACGCTGTAGGCCTAACTGCAGTGGCACCACATGCGTTCTTAAACCTGAGGCGCGTGTGCATGTTGGCAAGTCACAGCGTGCTATTGGTCGAGTAGGTATTAAACGCGCGCGTATATTACCTGTTCAAGTATGAACCGGTCTTTCAGTACAAGACGAAGCGAAGTAGCAAGCTGTACATTCTTCCGAACTGTCGGTTTGAATTTCCATTAGCATGTTGCGATAAAAGAAGAAATGTCGTCAAAAGTGGTCATAAAATCTACACTGAAAGGAGACTGGATTTCCAATCTTGAAATGCATTGTTTTACACACATTGTGTAGAAGTCATAATAACCATTTATTTCTTTTCTCAAGTTGTCACTTGTGCTCTTCGCGCATAACCAGAAATGGTCATATAATTGTTTGATTTCTACTGACAGAGTTGTGCAGTAAAATGTTGGACTCCACAACCGTGGCTGAACACGACCTCACGTTGTTCTGCCGACAGTGTTACGGGAAAGTCCACGGCCCGAAAGGGTACGGCTACGGAGGCGGGGCCGGAGCTCTGAGCATGGACCACGGAGAGAGATTCGGCATGCAGAGACCAGAAGGGTGAGTTGAGTGACTTGAAAGCTTGAAGAGACAGGTGGAAATAAGAATGTGAACAACCGAGGTTTTGATTCTCTCATTGCTTGTGAACTATGAACTGAACTTGATGAAAACAGAAATCACGACATAGCAAAGACGGGGAAATGGTACCTTTATTTCTGCATCGTTGCATGCCTGCTTTGGCTTACCAATCATCGATCATGGGCCTCATTACAGAAGACAACAGTAAGCCAGCTGGGTATTTTAGAAAGGCAAGGTCATTCGAGAGCAAAGCAGGGCATGGGAGTCGGCGTGTGGCCGCGTTGACAGGGCAGACCTTGCGCGCGCGTATTCCTGTTCCCGAATGACCTCGGATGCACTTCGTTTGGGCATGCGCTGTTGGATTTACATCGAACAGGCTCTTTGTTTAAAGAGTATTTGATTTGGTACAAATGCAGGGGCCCATCAGCGATGGCACAAGCCTATGCTGGAGCAGATTACCAGTGTGGACCACCTCCAGAAGGGTCCAATATCTGCCCACGATGCGGCCGAGCCGTGTATGCTGCAGAAAAGAAACTAGCTGCTAACCATGTAAGTAAAATATAGGATGACTGATATCGTGCAGAGATAATACGGGCGCTTCACAATAGCGCGCCTCCAAGAGTTTGCAACCCGTTGGCCAATCACAAAGCGCGAAATCGGTCCACCCTTTCCAAGCGCCCATTGGGCCGACATGTTTAACGAATTGTGATTGGCCAACGCAAACGCCAATGCAAACTCTCGGAGGCGCGCTATTGTGAAGCGCCCGTATTTTTGATGTGGATATTGGCTGCATAATACTGCATAATATTGTGTCTGGGACTCTTGCCTTTGCTTGGTCTGTAACTTTAATTGGCTTTAGTACAAACGCCGCATCCAGGCATTCTATCTCATGCACTGGAGCACTGGGTTAGAGTAAGGCCCGCCGTTAATCCTAATGACAATGAAGAACAGTGCTTGCCTGGCTGTGCGCGCATGTCGTAAGCTGATTTGACCCAGATATGGCGAGGGTTGCACGCGATTAATTTTCGATACAATGTGCACAAGCATGTGCGCGTTTTCCTCTAAACGCACGCGCCATACCGTTGGCGGAAATGGCGCGTATAGCCCGCCAAACATATTCCTAAATAATTTTTGTCTGTCTGATGGTGTGTCGGTTTCCATTTTCTTACAGTCTTGGCACAGCAAATGTTTCTGCTGTGCATATTGCGGCAAGGGGCTGGATTCAACCACTGTTAGAGACAGAGATCACGAAATTTTCTGTGTTCGTAAGTAGATTCCAACTTGACTATATCAGCAGCAGAACCGGCAATGGAGCGTTGTTAGGGACGTTAGTTTAAGAACCTCTAACAATCTGTAGGGCCCAAAGTTAATTAAGTTATGGCCAATGGCTGATTGCAATAAAAGTCGCTATACTGTCTCAGACTCTGAAAAGTATTTGGTATACATGTAGTCATCTTTCTGTTCTATTGATTTCGCAGACTGCTACGGTAAAGGATTCGGGCCTAAAGGTGTTGGTTACGGGTTGGGTGCAGGGACCCTCAGCACCTCATAGACTGGCACCGCTGTCTCGATCGTCATATACGAAGGATGGGATCCGTGGATTCTCGGCACGCACAATCTAAACGGAGACTTCGGGGTGCATGTTAGGAGCTGAGAAACCATGGCAACGTGCATTTCAAACCTTAATCTGGAAGTGTTGACCCGAGTAATGCCCAGGGATCGCATACACGTGCACTGAAACACCAAATACCTGAAAAATAATGAAGATTGTGTCAGTTCCAAAATTTTTAAAAATTATTTTAGAGTCTGCCCCTAAGAACTGGCGCTGACAAACCCAAGCTACCGAAAAAGACGCACTTAAGGCTAGTTTTGCGAGGGGACTGGACGAGTATCTGCCATTATCTAGCTTTGACCCGTTGCTTTAAAATGGCCGTTCCACAATAGTGCGGCACCAGGAGTTTGCAACACGTTGACCAATCATAACCCCCGAAACTTGTCGACCCAATGCACGTTTGCAATTAAAGGGTCGACAAATTTCGCGCGTTATGATCGGCCAACGTGTTGCAAACTCTTGGTGGCGCACTATTATAAATAGCCCGTATTGTAGCAACGATTTCAGTTTACCATGAGCCTTTGGCCGTGTCCGAAACAGGCTTCCAGAGCTACGGCTAGGCCTATATTGTCTGCGCGTCTCCACCAATGGAGCGAAGACCTAGACCTAGCTCTAGACCAGAGATTCGGATGCAGCCTTTGTTCCATTACAGCAAACCCTCAGACTTTTTTTTTAACCACATCGAAGAGAAACAGCAAAGTAGGCACTGGTGTAGTTTCCTGTCCATAGTCTTTTGGGGTTTTCTTTAAGGCATTTTGAACTTGTATTTGGGCAAATCATGATTTTTAATGAATGAGTACATGGTTTGGATTCTCGACGTTGATTTCTTTCGTATGTGACTGATGGTATACGAAATACTTCAATACCTCCCCTTGCCTCTTAGATTGTTAGTGAGGTTAAGTAATTAATTCGTGTTTTGGCATGCATGCGCAAATTTATTATGTAAATATGAGACTTTATGTTGTAGCTCTAGGAACACCTACCGTATTTCTTGTCCATTAATTTTGAAATGTAAAATTATAATTTTACGGAAATTGTAAATTAAAGTGGACTATGTACTGATGTGCCATTTTTGAGGCTTTTCACCGTAAGTGCCTTTTTACAATGTATTTCTAGAACTATGCAAAAACACTAAATAATTACTTTAGTTCCGATTTCATTGTTTCAAGTGTACAAAATTCCAAAGATATTTATCGTAGAAGTCTCTGTGGTTTAGAATCTTATAGCTTTATCAAATTTGGATGTGAATTGAAGTGGGCAATTTTCTTAAAAAGAGCTCTGACGGACCCAACCCAGCTCATGTAGGGCGCTCTGTTTGCAAAAGAAGGCGTGAGTTGTGCATTTTTCAGTATCCAAAGTAAATAATTAAAGTATCCCCAAAGTGTGATAAACTCATTAAAATTCACAAATCTCAGAACAGAATTTTACCAAATTATTTGTGTTTGTGATACCAATGCTTTCAAGGTCAAGAGGGATGGGGAATGACACCTTGGGAATCCTGGTGCACGGAGAGATTCAAAATTCTACGTGAATTCGCTGTTGTATCATGATAGTTCGCCGAAGAATGCCCTTGATTTTAAACTAGAGCTGAATCAATCTAGCCTTCTATGATCAGCAACATTGCGCATAACTTTAGGAAATCAAGATTGCAACAGTTTTGTCAGTGGTTTCTCTCAAGGTGCGTGGC